CGCACATCCTCGGAGGATATCACTAGATCTTCACTGGGCATCAATTGTAGAGGGCTCATAGTAGCCCAAGTGGGAAGCGTGGCTACGTCGCCTTCGATGCCACGGCATACCATATTGGCTGGCCGAAGATCCATGATCAGACGGTGAACCTGATGACCTTCCTGCACCTCCCCTTTCGCCACGCCAAATAGTCCGTTTAGGAGGGGGCGTCCGTCAACATGATGAAGTTCCTTCTCTTTCAACGGGATGCACACTCCCTTCCCCAACAGACCCTCGCAGACTCGCGGCCAAGCCTCATCACTGATCATGATCCGCGGCGGCTTCATAGGCTTTTGCAACTCCTCGGGAAGAACATATGACTTGAAGTTCATCACGTAATGACGACAACCTAGATCAACCACTTTGGCCAAGGGGACCGAGGCAATCTCCGAGGGCATTGCAGGTGCGAGGTTTTCCCAGGTGGTATACTGAGCGCAAAGGACCTCCTCCCCACAGTAGTCGATGGTCTTTACCTGAAGGAAATCATGCCATGATGTCTCCTCAAACCTTTCTTCCCACTCCAAAATTGCCCTCGACTGACCCTCCAAAAACCTCAGGACTCCGACCTGCACAGGGATCGGGGGAAATGAACTCTCCAGTTCAACCCCATACAAGCTATTCAACGACATGCACATGCCCCTCATGACAATAGAGGCTTCCTCCGAGATCTGCAAAACCTCCCTGAGCACCCCCATCTCAGTGGGCAACGGAAATACGTCGCCCGTGGGCTGGGTCGTGCACTGCACAGGCAACTCAATCTTGGAGCTTGCTTGAACTAAGATGGAGGAAACCCAAGGAAAAACATGATACAACTCTTCACCCCCACTCGGCGGCTTCATGCAAACTTTTTGCAAGGTTGAGACAGGCTCTAAGGCGTCAACTCTTGCGTCCTCGGCCAGGGCAACCCCCTTTAAATGGCGCCTCTTGGCCTCTGTACCCAAGGTGGTCGAAGCTAACGAAGGTCCAACCACTTTGCCACTGGAAAAATCCGTTCGACTCTCCTCAAATGGCCGAACCATGTCGTGCGTCTGGCTCTCCGCAGGATCCTCATATCGCCTCACGAATCCTGCTTCTTCTGCTCCTTGTCTTTGCCTTTTTTGCCCTTTCCTTTGCCCTCCTTGTGCTTTCCTTTCTCTGGATGCCATGGCGTGTCTCGCCAACTGCTTGACCAGTCGCCTTTGTTCTTCCCCTTGCTTGCTTCCGCCCTGGTGCGGTTCTCCTCCTTGGATTCTTTGATGGCCTCTCGGGCCTCCGTGCGGCTTGAGATGATCGGCTTTTCCAAGGGGACTAGCTCGATCTTTTGCGATACTGACCAGCTGGCACCTTGCGAACACATCTCTATGGCCTTCAGCCGTTGCATTAGACCATCTGCGGCCTCTGCTATCCGAGCTTGCATCAACAGGTCCAGACACCAGCTCAGCGTCAATGCTTCGCGCGATTGGCCACCTGTCAACCGGGTGCTGAGGACCTGCCTGAAATACTGGCAGCAGATGGGTTGAAGCGGCCCTTCGGCCTGATCCCAGATCCCTCCTGTGGAACTGAGGAGGTTGTTCGCCATCTCCTTGCATCCTGCTGTGGTCAGCGCGCCCGGGGCCATCCGGCCTATCCTCCTCACTTTCTGCGTCTCCTCGAAAAGGTCGCCGCTCTCTTCCTCGGTCGAGCCGCTGCTGCTCCCTGTCGATGAGCTCCCGGACGAACTCTTCTTCTTTTTCTTTAGCTTCCTCGAAGCCTTGGCTGCTATTTTCTTCCTTACCTTGGGATCGGGGTCCATCCCTGTGCCAGCGAAGGCACTCTTCAGGCTCTTGCGGGCCATTGCCCTCGCTGACACCTTCTTCTCCTCTTCTTTGGGAGACTTGTCCTCTCCTGAGGATCTCCCCTTCTTCCGCTTCCTCTTCTTCTTGTCTCGCTCTTTGCTTCTGCCTCTCTCTGCTCCTTGCTTCTCCTCTCCTTCTTTCACGGCTTCTCTTGCTCTTGGCACTTCGATCTCGGCCTTGTCTCCTGCCGGTCTCTCTTCGACCAGGTTCATAGCCCAGGCGGGATCCTCCCCAGTCCTCTTCTTGATCTCCTCCCCATGTAGGAGGTTCTCGGCATCCAACATCGCTTCGCAACGAGCCCCGCAGAGGTGAACGCGCATCACTTTGATGGCGGTGCCGCTTGCCCACTGCAAGATCGTTTCCGTTGAAGTGCCCTGCAAGTCCACTTCGACCTCTATGTCTTCTCGATCCCGAATTTGAACGCTCCTCACCAAACCCGCGATCTCGGCGGGAGCCCCCCCAGTAACGTCCCGTGACTGTAATGGGAAGGCGTCTTCGAAGCAGCTCCAAGGGGATTGAGGGACATCGTACTGCTTGACCTTCTTCGAACAAGCGTCCTTCCTCTCCTCCTCGCTCTCTCAATGCCTCACGGCCTGCAGGTTCGGCCCCTGCTGGTCGCCGTCTCACTGCTCCTCCCCTCTCTCTGGGAGGTTCTTCCCTGACCTCTCTTCTTCCTCTCACTCTTGCTGCCGGCCTCCTCAATGCCATTGAAGAGCTTGGCACGGACCTGCACTACCGTCTGAAGTAGTACTGGTCTTCCTTCTTCTTTCTGCCCTTATTCGTCCCCCAGTACTGGGGTTCCCTCTGCCACTCTTTGAGGTGACCTGACCAATACCGACCTGTCGGACGAGCAACCGAAGGTGGCGCTCCTCCCCGTCTCGCTACCGGAGGCTGCTTAGGAGGCGGTCCTCCCCTGTCTCTTGGTGGCGATCTTGAAGGTGTCTTCGGCGGTCTCACTGATGGCTTTGCCTTCTTTTCTTTCCCTGTCTCTTCTTTGTCCTTCTGTTGACCTCTTCTGGATCGACTGCGCTCCTTCCTTGTCTTCGACCTCCGACTCTTCGACCTGTCTCGGCGTCTCCGACTCCTGCTTCTCTTGCGGGACCTGGGTCTTGACGATCGAGTATCTACTCTCGACTTTGGGCCCTTTGATGAACTCGAGTATTTGCCTTCTTCCTCCTCTGCCTCGATCTCAAGCTCCTTGACTCCAGCCTTCTTGGATGCTGGGCTGACTCGGCTCTCCTCCTCCTTCAAGTCAATGGCCTTCTCCTTCTCACTGACTTCTCTCCCCTTGCTGGGAGATTTGGAGGGCAGGCGCGGACCTGCTGACTTGGGTGCTGCGCTCTGGTTGACGATCTCCTTCTGCTTCAGGAGGGTCACAAATTTCTCGTGCTCCTCCTGGATGATGCCAGTCCAAATCCGAAGATTCGAGATGGCCCAACCTCGAAGCTCTGGTGGAAGATCGTCCAGCACAACCCAAAACCTATCCCGGGCTCGGCAAAAAGTGCACTTGCCGTCCAACTCCGACGTCACCGTACCGCAAAGGGTACAGGACATAAGCTGAGAGCCCAAACCCTTCGGGTGAGAAAGGACTCTACCTAATTCGTCTTAACCCACGAGGACGTAAGTTCATATAGATAAGAGAAGTTCTGTACGTCGCCGTTGATCGCAGGAGAACAGAGAAGTCGTAGCATGACGATCGTCACGTATAGATTGCGAGAAATTGGGAGCAAAGAAAGAGAAAAATGGCTGATATGCTGTAGTCCGATGTCTGCGCTCCCTCTCTCTCTCTCTCTTATATCCAGTCAATCGTAGTCATACAACGACGGATGTGGCAAAACAATGCAGGAAGATCGACAGCTCTAAATTAGCTTCCAAGCCACAAGATAGCATTGACACAAATGTGCCGGTGCACTTCACTCCACTCCAACCTTTGCAAGCCTTGAAACTGACTAGAATCACTAGAACTAGGAGACTTTGGACAAATGGTGATTATGTAACACCACAAACCGAGCAGGTAAGTCGATGCGGCATCCCGGATTGATATCACCAACACAAATCCATTGTCTACGTTGGTGCAGGTTTCTGGGTTGGATTTTCAGGGGATCCCCGCAGACATCAGAGGCATTAAACATTGGTGTCCGCAGGGATCGGGGACTGCAATTGGTCTCGCAAAAAAAGGACATCAAAGCTAGAAGCGCACCATCCCCTCACCCGCTCCTGAGTCTCTTCCAACAAGGTATATCCTGAGCAGGATGTGCAAGGGGAGAAGAACATCGGCTTCTCTGGCGGAGCCCAACTGATGCTCAAATGTGACAACCCAAGCATCTCAGCCAGGGTTGCACTGTTGCTCTGACATGCTTCACCAAAGAGCTTCTCTGCAAAGATGTGTTCGGCCACATAGGTGCCAAGGATCTCCTTGGACAAACTCCGGAGCCGCCAATGTAAGAAGTTGCCGTCGACTGTTCCGTCTGTGTTCTCGTTCGCACCGATAGGCCGCTGTGACGCTTCCACCAATCGGATGCATTGCATGTTCTGCAACACGTCTCCATCAAAGGCCCGCAGTAGCTGGGCCACGAAGGGCGGCGCGAAGCGGAACTCACTTCGGAAGGTATCGATCATCGCCATCCTCATCTGTTGGGCATCTGGAGCACGCCAGCCATTGATGCCCTTGATCTCATTGCAGTACCAATCCACCCTCTGAATCAGCCGCTCCAAAGCAGCCAAGTTTTGGATATTCTGGCTCTTGTTGGCCCAGGTTTCGTAGGATTTGTAGACAATTGACCTGCTTTTCAAGTCGTCAATAAGGCTTTGAATGCTGTTTTTTTCTGCCATCTTCATGCCCTGCTGTTTTCAGCTCGGCATTGCCCACAGTACTGACCGTCCAAGCTGGATTTTGTTGCACGGTTTGTTGCACGACTGGTTGTCGCACATCCCCTGACCCGAACATTGAGATTGAGACTGAAAGTGGGCCTGAGCCATCTTGGCTGCAAGCCGGTCAAACAGCCATTTGGAAACGTTTCTCCCCTTCTTTAGGAACGCTTCTAGTACCATCTAGGACCTATTAGTACCTGAGGACTCACCCCCTCCTACATATTACAAGGCTACATCGGGCAAGGCTCTGCCTGGCTGCCTTATCATCCAAGGCACTTCTGGGTGGGTCCACCCGAAAAGAGCAACGACTTGGCGCCACCTTCAGAGCCTTTGGGCGCCGCCTCCTTGCGAATTGTGATCCAATCCTTGGAGCATTGTACACCCATAGTAAGAGTCTCCAAAGTGTTCGTCCGAAAGGCTAGGGTTTCAACGAACTCTGGGGTGAAGGGATGAGACGCGGAGCCGAGTCTCTTTGGGCAGTTTGATCTGCCAACCAATCTGGTCCTGCCAACCAACTACTTCACAAAGCGTCATTCTTTGCAAATCTCGTATTGCTCTTCTCTGGATGAAAATGTTGTGAAGAAAACTCGGCCACAGGCCTGCTCGACAAAGCGAATGAACTGGGAGAGGTCGGACCCCTCAGGGAAAGAACCAAGCAACAAAGGCCTTCGACCTTCGTCAAAAAAAAAGATGAAAAGGTCGAAGGTCCATTCTCTCGGCCTCCTCCGCTGATGCTTGTTGGCTGAAAAGCAAGGCACCAGCGTAGCAATCTCTACCTCAAGGATGACGAATTTGCTAAAAGAGAGGTTCAGATTCGAAGAATTCCAAGAATGCTCAACAAGTACAACCCTCTGCATATGAAACAACTCACTTCTACCGGCAACACGATCTATCTGAACTGCTGACTGGTAGGGCTGAAAGGCTCCGCTAAATGGACTTCACACCCACTTCATCCCACATCTATGAAAAACTAGAAACTCTTCCTTACCGTTACTTCTGCTTTTCTCGCTTAAAAAGCCATTGCATAGGTGTTTTATCGTGTTTTTCGTGTCCAAATGTTCTCTACGGTGTCCAGAAGTCGCCCATCCGCTTGGGCTCCGTGCGTCGAAGCCGCAGCTCAGTGAAGGCCTCATCGTTCGTCTCGAATGACGAAACGGCTTGACCGCTTGGCTTGACATGCTTGGCGCATGCTTTTATGCTTTTGCGCATGAGTGTGATTTCGAGAATGCCTTAGATGGTCTCGTATGTTGCTTATATGTTGCTTGATGTCTTGCAGCTAGGCGGAATGTTCCTCTTCCTTCTTCTCCCGACGTGAACAAGAAACTTCCCACAGATTCACCTGCAAAGCACCACCTCCATGAGGCCGGCAGGCCAGAGGATTACATAGAATATCTTGGTTCTCTTCATGCTGTTCTTCTTTGGGCCCATTGAGTGTGCTTTGTTCTTGTTCCTTTCTTCATGCAAAGGAGGAAAGCATATGTGAGGAATGCCGGCAAGTAACAGCACCAGTATCCAATGCGTTTGAAGACAAAGGAAGGAAAGAGAGATTCATTGGAATGACGAACAAACGAAACATCCAAACGACAAACTTCCAACTTCACTCTGAGTCTCCGTCGCGGGGAAAGTGCACCCGCCAAAGAGCCAGCAAGGGGAAAGCCAACCAAAGCCGCCGCATCGGAATCAGCGAAGCTCAGGACCGCTTCGAAAATGTTTTTCAAGCGAAATTCGAAGTTGAAAATGCTATGTTGGACTGACCTCTGAGATTCAGTGTTTGGTGCCTCCCTTGAGTCGTTGTCTGAGATCAAAGAATCTGAATATGCCTATCAAATCCTATTCTATAATAGGCTATAGGCAAAATCTGGGAAAGAGTGACTCTTGCAGTTGTTTCAAGGAACACTCATATCCAGGATTATGCAGGTATGCACCACAGCCATGAAGACTACAATTCGTGTCGGCTGAGCACAGTATGGCTGTTGCGAGCACTTATATTTTTGGGCATGCGCCCTGTGAAAACCAAGCAAAGGAATCTTCAGAACAGTCGAATGGCAGAAGCAATCTCCAAAGCAACCTCAGCAATCTTACCAGTCTTCCTCTCACTCCGACCGTTTCAATCCTTTTATTGGGTTGGAGGCCATCGCTATTTGAACAATATGTTCTTTCTTGTTTTACTGTTTGCATTTTTGTGCCAATCCTTTGTTCATCCTTTTTCATCGTTTTCACTCACCCGACGATCCAAGTCTTCCTCGGAACCGAACCGCTCTTCGATTCTGCGCCATGACTTGGCCAATGACGCGGTGTGAGCCGGTCGTGACCCCGGTGCCCACTTTGGGGTTGAACCGGAGGATGGTCGTTTCACCGGGCTCACATTACCAGAGGATGGTCATCAGCGGATTGTAGATCTTCACAAAGGCCTCTGTGGATGCAGCCAAGGCAGGTGAAATGTCATTGTTCCGCAAAATGACCTCGGGGCAACTGCAGATTGTTCGGACATCAACCTGCGCTGGACTCATTCAGAATATTGGAGAAGTCTCACTCGGACATCAATGTGAAAAGTATCCCGAGAACAGGCTAACTGATGATCATACTCAAAGTTTGGAAAGGCCTTTTCACTGAAGGCTTGCCTTCCTGATCGACTCAGGCTGATTGAGGCCACGCACCAAGTCGATCATGGACGTGAGCTGCTTGGGGTTCCACAAAGAGCGCTTGTGCTCCTCTCATGCGAAATTAGAGCTTGCGGATATCGCACAGAGAGTCAGACGCGCACACACATACACAGAGACACACACATCAACGAAAGAGGTGAAGACGTTCAACACATTGATCCATCGCCCATCGATCCAATGACCCGATACAAAGCCGCACGAGCGATTTACGCTCTAAGAGGTGCCCACAATCTTCGAATACGAAACACACCAAAATCACGTGAAGGCCCAAGCAAAAGCAAATAGTAACAAATAGCAAACAACAAGGACGCTACTAGTAGCAAAGGGCATCGCTACTAGCAACAAGGACGCTCTTAGTAGCTCCTGGCATCGCTACTAGGAGCAAGAAGCTACTAGTAGCTCCGGGCATTACTACTAGTAACGTCAGGACGCTTAGGTGGAGCCCGCAAATACATCAAAACCACAGCGTAACGTGTTCAAACCTAATAATGGATCCTCTAGCCACATTGATCGACAGGCACTGGGAGTCCTTCTGAAAGCGTTCAGTGAGAGCGTGCAGTCCTGGCCTGGCACAGACATAGCAAAATGCAACCAAATGGAACAAAGAACAGGTTGATGTGAGAACAAATCAACGTTGCATCTGAAGTTCAAAGATTTTGCAGCTTAACCGGCTCAACCACGATGCATCCACTCACTGGGTGGAGCTCTTGCAATCACCGCAGAAAATACTCTGTTTCATGTGGGGTTTGTGAAAACAAAAGGAAGTGGACAGCTGACCTGTGCGAAGGACACTTGAGCTGTGCTGGAAACCTTGATAGATTGAAAGGTCGTATGGGAAGTCTTACGCTGAGACTTACGCTTTCCTTGCGCGCGCACAGTTTTAGCTTACCATTTTCACGCAGCACTACTTGCAGAGTGACTAGATGATATGCTTGATGAGGACGATGTGGATTCTGCATCAAACACCTGGTTAGACTTCATGGCCTCACTCTGGCGCTTGCGCTTTCTTGCTTGCCTGCTCAAAGTCTGAGCTGGCGCCATGCGTGGGCAATTGATTAGAAATCGAAGTTGTCTTTACGCAGTGCTTACGCGGACCTTACGCCATGTCTGATCATTCCTTGGTTCATAAAAACAACTTGTTTTCATTGATTGGCCCTTACGCCACTGGTTATGTTGAAAAAACCTTACGCAACCTTACGCGCAGCAGACTTTTGCTTACGCCAACCCTCCTTATGACCAAGCTCTTAACAAAAATGTAAAGGGAGGTTTACGGCGCTGCTCACTTGGGTCTCAGAAGCTTATCTAGACCCATGCCAGTTCGGCTCTCCGATGTGATTTCCCTCCAGGTCCAGGGTTTGGAGCTTCACCATCCTTAGTGTCCAATTAGCATGTTTCTCACAAAGTGACAAGGCTATTGTAGAAGTGTACCACGGACCTTGTCACCTCACCAGCTTGACCAGCTTGACTCTAGGCTCCGTACTTGTTGGCGCTCATCACCCCTTGTAAACCTCGGGCAGAACTCTTGCATATTTCCATCTTCAGGCGGTTTCATGAGTCCATCTTCCACAAGACAGCAGAGCTGGTCCGCCTGCTGATGTGATGCCATTGTCGCGAACACCTGATGACAAGTCAACTGATATGGCGAGGAGAAAAAAAACAGTGGCCTCCAACCTAATAGCGATGGCCTCCAACCTACTGGCGATGGCCTCCAACCTACTGGCGAT